GCAAGTCTGAACTTTATCCTGTAGGCCACTGGGAACCATTAAAAGGCTTTAAGTAGGAGAGTGGCATAATCAGCTGGATGTGGTGGTGCACACCTGTAATCCAGCTACTGAGGAGGCTGATGTAAGTGGATCACAAGTTTGAGGCTCAGACCCTGTCTCAAAACAAAATAAAAGGGCTGGGGATGTAGCTCAGTGGTACAGCACCCCTGGCTCAATCCCCAGTAGTGAAAGAAAAAAAAATAAGTTGCTAAATTAGGCTTTCAAAGTAAGGACATGTGGTGACTCCTAAGTTACCAGCTTAGAAAACTGAATAGACAGTGGTAGTTTGTCAATAGAAGGAATGTAAAAAGAGAAATAGAGTTGGGGGACTACATAATTCATTTCGGACATGGTTAGGGTGTGTGCTGTCTATGGAGCACCCAGGTGGAAATGTCAAGGATGCAAAAAGAAATACAGGCTGAAACACAGTGGAGATATGATATTGATACTCAGTAGCATACTGATGACGTTGACATTGGGGTTTGGACGAGACAACCCAGAGAGAAGAGCAAAGGGTGAGAGGATCAAGGACTAAAACCTGGGAAAACTAACATTCAAGAGGCAGGTAAAGGCTGGAAAGCCAGCCAAAGAAACCAAGTAGAATCTTTTGTGAATAAACTTACAGGATAGCAATTGCCAGGTTAAAGATCTCCCAATCTCCCTCAGGTGATTCTGATATGAACTATTGATTCACCAGGGCAGCAATGAATATGTTCACAGCATGAAGTATCTGCTCTAGAATCTGCCTGGAACCAGACAGGGATGAAGATACTAACTAAAACTAGACAGGATACAAGGACCACGGCTACATTTAGGATGCTGAATCAAATCAATGTTAACTGTAGCCTCCAAATTTCTTGGTTAATGTATTACACTGAACAGAGTGTTTAAGCCTTATAAGACAATCAGAATACAGCAATGGGAATGACTGCTATTATGAGTATCATCATATAAAGACAGAGAAGGAGAAAATTGCAAAATATCTATCTCTACAATGGGCCTCCACCCAGAGGAAGCAAACTGCACACAGTTGTCCAGGTTTTGGTGTCAGGGGTTGATTCTTGGCCAGAGGTTGCCAGCTGCAGAAGGAGGGGCTCTATTTTAGGCTGCCTGCTGTCCCTGAGCCTGTCCGCATCTGGTTTGAGCAGCATGCAGCCCCAGTGACTCACACACCCATGCAAACCGCCTGTGGCTCAGTGGCATGGCCTCGGAATGCTAGCCTTAGGCCAGCTCCCTCCTCATCCCATTACACTGGGATAAATAAATAAAGAGCCCGCCAGCAGCCGCATAGCCTGATAGCAACCAGATGGAGGGAAAGAGGCACAGATGGGGCCAGGAGAAGAAACTCCCTCCAGTGGACTAGATGGAGAGAAGGCTACAGCAGCCACTCATCCTAAACTTCATCTTAAACTCATTTACAATTGCTGTGTCATAACAGTGCCCAATTCCTTGACTTTTCTTCCACTCCAAAAGATACCTCTTAGGCCTAATCCTGGGAAATGCTCCATATGGGGATCTTGCCCTACATGAGGATCATGCCAGCAGTCCTCTCTCCCCCAGCCTTGATTTGAATCAACATTGCCAGTATTCCTGCTTTAGTTAGGCTGCTATCAATTGGCTCCCTTAGGTTCCCTAGAAATGAAAAATCAGAGGTTCTTGAGGGGAGAAGAAAAACAAAAAGGATCAAATATGGGAAAGTGATCCCTGTTCAATCCTTCAATATTTTTCCTAATCTTATATCCAAGAAACCTCCCTATCCCACTGCCCCTGCACTCTGTCTACAATCTCTTCCCTAGCAATATTTCCAATGAGAATAGGAGTGACCCCAAGTACTGACCGCGTGGCCCTCTGACATCAGCCTGGCCTCTCCATGCCTTCATCCTAAGCTCTCTCTCTGGTTTGTTTATCTTCCTATCCCATGTTGCTTATTTTGATGGCACATCCTTTCATTTCAGTCTTGGGTGACCCCATGACCCTTCTGTGTCCTGTTTGCAGCACCCCAGGCAAGCACAGTAACTGAAAAGATGCAGTAGCCATATGAAGCTCTATAGTCTCAATAGTGCTCCAGAGTCCTTTCAGTCTAGCAGCTATGCAGAACATTCTGAGGACAGTGCAGTGAACCCACAGTCATAAGAATTCAAATTACCCTATCCTTATGTCTCCTCAGCTGGTGTGCACAACAAGTTAAAGTAGAGAAACAGAATAGGGATACATTTTAGACTCTGAGTCAAGAAATGTGGGAAGTCCTAAACATAGGTAAGTCATTTAACCTCTGAGACTCAATTTTTTCATCTATAAAATGGAAAGTTTCAGCTATGTATCTCTATATGATCCCATATATAAAACTTCTACAAGTCTACGAGGCTTGGCTGCAATCCACCCAGTGCCTAGAGGACCAGAACTCATGAAGTAATTAATTGTAAGTACCAACACCATCCCTGAGTTAGCACCTGGATTATATGGCTTTCTCATTCCATTCTACAGGGATGGAGCCCTCCCCCAGCAGCATGAAAGAGATGAGCCTCCTATTTTAAAAATGAGAAAATAGTGGCTCTGAGAGAAGTGATTTATCTAAAGCTGCAAAATAAACCATGATAATAACTGAAGTCCTCATATATAGCCCTTAAAAGCAACAATGTATTTATAGGCCACACTGCCACAAAATTCACACAATTCCCCCTGGCATAGATTTATCAAAATATGCATACACAAACTTATTGAGAACCTACTTCTTCTAGGCACTATAATCCATGCTGGGAAGACAGAAATGCATTCAACATGGTCCCTGCCCTCAAAGAAACCAAAGATCAACAACTCAGGAGGCTGAGGCAGGAGGACTGCAAGCTTGGCACAATTTAGTGAGACTCTGTCTCAAAATAAACAGGGATGGAGACTTAGCTTAGTGGTAAAGTGCCCCTGGGTTCTATCCCCAGTATGGGGTGGGAAGGGGAAAGAAATCAAAGATCAGCAGCAGAAAGCTACAGTTTTGCAGACATTAAAAAAAAAAGTATAAACCAATGCACTCTAATAGCAGGAAAGGATTATTTTTATGAGAGTCCAGAAAGATCTTCCAAAGAAGCTGAAGCTGACACTTAAAAGATGAACAGTTTACAAGGTAGATAAGGCCAGCACATTGGTCATTCTAGATAAAGGAAAGAATGTTATAAAGACATAAAGGCAAGAGAAAACAAAACAGCATCTGGGAAAATCAAAAGTCATTTCTTATGGCTGAAACATAAAGCACATATAGTAAAACCTTATGGAGTCAAGTTGGAAAGCACATAGGCACTAGACCAGCAGAGAAGGCTAAGAGTTAGCCCTGAACTCTAATGCAGGGCCTGAGGCAGGTAAATGGTACACCAGCTCTAGGCTGTGTTAACACTCCTTAATGCCCAGAGATTCACATACAGAAGCCATCTGAGAGAAAAGTGGCCTAAGAAATCTCTATCAAGAGCTGAGGTTGTGGCTCAGAGGTAGAGCGCTTGCCTAGCATGTGTGAGGCCCTGGGTTTGATCCTCAGCACCACATAAAATAAATAAATAAAATATATTGTATCTATCTATAACTAAAAAATAAATATTTAAAAAACAAACTTGAGTTTTTTAAAAAAGAAATCTCTGTCACATATTTAGGTATAACAGTCTCTCTTTCCCCAAGAATTTGACATTAATTATGTTTTAGGACTTAGCAATGCAAGCTTTCCTTCTTCTCCAGAGTTAAAACTGTTTCAGTACATGGGCTGAGTACTCAGCTCCCCCCACTTTTTTTTGCTCCTAGTGTTAAGACTTCAAGTATTAAATCTCAGTCAATGAATAGAAAGAACAGAAGGTTCCAGATCAAGAATACCTGCTTTACGTCTAGCCCCTGTGAAAAGAGTTTATTTCAGGTTCTAAAGAGATCTGAGACACAGAACTTATCCATAAGAAGCTTACAAGTAGCCTAAAGGGCAAGATAGAAATATGAATAATCTGTATATAACAATATTATAATAGCATTATTTACTTACATAGTAACTTGGGTAATATGTCTAATTAGAAAATGAGGCAATAATACTAAGGTACTAACTGTATAACCAACAAGTCCCAAAAGAATTAGAGAAGGAAAAGATCAATATTGACTGGTATTATCAAAGGTCACCATTATTAATACTCCCACTGTTTGGCCTTCAACAGATGTTTCTTTTGGCCAAGCTTAATCCTTAGAAGGGAAACCTAGGCAGTAGCTTCTGACAGGCCACAATTATCTACTCCCCATTCATTCCTTTGCCAATCCCCTTGTATAAACACTGTGATTTTCCACGGCCTGCAGCACCCACAAGACAGTCCCCAGATGGTAGCCCTGAGCTTTTAACTTTCCTCTACTGCTAGATGCTGAAGGGACTGGACAAGTAACAATGACTACACTTCTACTCCACAATTCAGATCTCAATAAGCACAAGTTAACAACTGGCCAATCAAGCTTCCCAAGGTTAGAGAATTCCAAATGAAATTCCCAGGTACTTTAACAGAGATATTTTACAATTGTTAATTAGTCTGCTTTTGCCTTTTGTATTCATCCCCTTTCCTTCCCCCATCTTCCCTATGTACATCTCAAGCTTTATCAGATTTTCTATAGCCATTTTTTTTCAGACAAAGGGCTTTCCAACCATACAAGCCACCTACCACCCAAAATGCAAATCACCATCCAGGTACCTTTTTTGTGGGGAAAGGGGTGGCAAGAACTGAAACCAGGGACACTTAACGATTGAGCCACAACACCAGCTCTTTTTATGTTTTATTACGAGACAGGTCTCACTAAGTTGCTTATGGCCTCACTAAGGTGCTAAGGCTGGCTTTGAACTTGCAATCCTCCTGCTTCAGCCTCCTGAGCTGCTAGGATTACAGGCATGCACCATCATGCCCAGCACTATCCAGGCACTTTAAGTGCTCAAATTTGAAGAAGAAAGGAAATAACTACCCTACCTCTACCATAAACTGTTCCAAGAAAGCATTTTCTTCAAATGGCTCCGTCTTCAATCGACCTGTAATAAGAAGGGTCAAAGAAAAAGAAATATGATCCTGAGGATGAGCTTCCTACCTGTTGGATGAAAAGGAACAGAGTCCAGAACAGAAAGATGCCCTCCCAGAGATCCCCCCTAGCCAGGTGAGAGAAGGAGGATTGAGAGTATGTGGGCAAACACAAGGAGGAGAGGGCAACTGGCAACAAATGGCAGTTCAGGGGCAGCAATTGCTCTATGAGATCCTCCTGCCATTTCCATTGACAAAATGGCATGTCAAATGGAATTTTTACTTTGAAGTTGGTGCTTTGCAACGTTCTAAACTCCCAAGTTCGCCTTGCCTAGTACAATTTTGTATAGTTGTTGGCTCCTTTCCAAAGCCTTCCCTTGTCATTTCCTAGGACATGTCTGTCCTTTATAGCTTCCACTGGCCACTTAGGCACCAGCCAGGTACTCAAGGTAGAAAAAAGTGTCATCTACTTACTATCAAGTCTCCAGTTCCTAGTCAGGACCCAACACTCACACCAGGGGAAACAATTTCTCAATGCACATGAGCCTCTCCATTCTCTAAGACCTTTGGACTACCTGTCCCACTCCTTACCCAATTCCTCAAAGAATATCCTCTCACCTCGGCTCAGCATAGCCCCACTCTCCTGGTAGTCCTGGATCTCTAGATCTTTCATCCGAAGTAATGTTGACAACTCCTTCACGTGGCACTGCAAGGCCAGACTCATGCCCATCAAAGGACGAATCAAATGTTGGGAGACCTTTGATGGAAAAGAGACATCAATTAGCCAACAGATGCTTCCAGAGTACTCTCTGCATTAGGTACTAGAAGAAAACACCAAAGAATATTTTCACAAGAATTTATAGTTTCAAAGGCAAGCAATCCATTTAGATGAGCATAAACATAAACATAATAATTAAATAAATTTATTAAAGAGGCTCAAGGATTGCCTTTATGACCCAGATAGAATATGGATAGATTAACTTAAGAGTTGTGATTTAGAGATAATGATGTGATACAGTTGAGAAAGGGAAAGTATTTGCTCAACTCTCAGCAGAGGTTACGAAATAAAAGCAGAATATTCAAGCAGCCCTCAAGAGAGTAAGTGTGGTAGACAGACATGGTAGCACATGCCTATAATCCCAACAACTTGGAAGGCTGAGGCAGGAGGATCAAAAGTTCAAGGCCAGCTTCAGTAACTTAGCAAGGTCCTAAGCAACTTAGTAAGACTGTACTTCAAAATTAAAAAATAGCAAAAAGGGCCTGGAATATGGTTCAGTGGTTAAGCACCTGTGGGTTCAACACCTGGAACCAAAAAAAAAAGAAACAAAGAAGGTATGGCTAGTGGCTAAAACAGAGTACACCAGCTGGAGTACAACAGAAAACAAAAATTCAACAGAAAGTAGAGAGCTTTGAAGTTCAAGTTAGATCATTTATCAAGTGCCATTTCAGGGCTGATGATAGCCCAGAATTTCAATCTGTTTCCACAAATGCAGCAGAGTCTCAGGTTGTTGTTATAATAAAAGCACGTCAATTTCTAAAAGACTAGCCAAGAAATAAATAAAATATCCACCCAAATATACCTTGCTTTTAACAAGAAGTAAGAAGGATGCTAGCACAGTATGGAAATTCCTTAGAAAACTTGGAATGGAACCACCATTTGACCCACCTATCCCACTCCTCAGTCTATACCCAAAGGACTTAAAATCATCATGCTACAGTGATGCAGCTACTTCAATGTTTATGGTAGCTCGATTCACAATACATAAACTGTAGAAACAGATTATATACTCTTCAATAGATGAATGGATAAAGAAACTGTGGTATAAATACACCATGGAATATTACTCAGCCATAAAGAAAAATGTAATTATGGCATTTATGGGTAAATAGACGAAGTTGGAGAATATCATGCTAAGCAAGTAAGCCAATCCCAAAAAAACAAAGGCCAAATCTTTTCTCTGATAACTGAATACTAACATAATGAGGGGAGCAGGTGGCAAGGGAAGAATGGAGGAACTTTAGAATGAGCAGAGTGGGGAGAGGGAAGGGGAAGGTATGGTGGCGGGAGGTGGTGGAATGAGACAAACATTATCACCCTTATGTATGGGTATGATTGTATGAATGGTGTGACTCTGAATCATGTACAACCAGAGAAATGAAAAGTTGTGCTGCATTTGTGTAAAAATAAAATAAAATTAATAAAAAAAGAAGGATGCTAGCAGAGCCATACTACAGTGCAGCTATAATGATGCTCTCGTATGATAATGTAGAACTGTACAGAATAATCATTTAATTCACCCATACAAGGTGTCCATTAGCCTCTCAAAGAAAATAACTAGGGGCTGGGATTGTGGCTCAGCGGTAGAGTGCTCGCCTAGCACGGGCGGGACCCAGGTTCGATCCTCAGCACCACATAAAAATGAAGGCATGGTCTGAAGCTTGGAGCACTACTAGGTATCTCCTTTCTTCCATGGAGCGCTCACCATTCAAACATGACAGATTTGGTCAAATGCTAGTTAGGTTGAGTCTTGCTTGCTTCCACTTGGTCACCTTTGTATGGATCCAATGGCTGTTTTGTTTTGCTTTTTTGTTCCTTCCCCCCCTCCCCATTAACGGTTTTTAGCTGACGTTCTTGAAGAGAGTGAGTACTCGGAACTGTGCCGCCAATGAAAGGAAATCCTAAGGAAGTACATTTCTTTACAGAGCTGTGTCATACCATCCTTTTGGCCCTCTGCTGTAAAAGTAGAATCAAGTCTCAAATAATTGCCTTTGTAATCGTACCCTCTAGTATTGTAGATGTAGGACAGTACTGTATCATATGCTGTGAATGTTAAACCTCTCGTACCTGCTTTATGATATGTGGTAGTGACTGTGCTTTATCAGAGCTGTTTTTAATGATATTACTCTAGAATGTTTTCTTTTCAGATGATGATTGAGAAGCTAATAAAAAAAAAATGGTGCCAGGTTTCACAACAGTAACAGAACTTTGCTGTTTTCTCGGGTTTGTTTTTGTTTTTGTTTTTTTACTTTCCCCCCATTTTTAAATGGAGTGTGCTGGGTGTGTCTATGATTCTGTTCAGATGACTGCAGAACCTGGAAACGCTGTTGCTGCTGCTGATGCAGAACATACTGCTATTATTGGTCTTTTTATATAAATATAAATATATATATATATACATATATAGATAATTTGAATTTTTGGAAACATTAGCTGTGCTGTCAACTTTGGAAAAGTATCCCAGTTTACCGTGTTGAGTTGGCATTGTACAGAAATTAACAGCCATATTGGTCTAGAAATGTTAAACTTAATTTTTTTCCATTTGTACAGGGGTAATGCACTGTATTAAATATGTAAGGTCTTATCTACGTGGGTTTGATTACAGAAACTAATAAAGTATTCTCTAAATAATGAAAAAAAATGAAGGCATTTGTTGTGTCCATCTAAACCTAAAAAAATAAATATTAAAAAATAAATAAAGAAAATAACAAAGTCAATCACCTATTTGTGGCTTGGGGATGCTACCAGAGTTACTTTCTTTTTCCCCTGAAGGACACAAATTAAAGGAGGAACTAAGAAGTGGTGCTCCAGATCAGGGGTCAAGAAGATTTTTTATGGAAAAAGCCAGATAGTCAATATTCAACTTTGCTGTTGTGGCACACTAAAGCAACCCAAGACAATATGTAAACAAAGGAGATGGCTGTGTTCCAATATAACTTTCCAAAAAGAGGCAATAAGCTAGATTTGGCCTGCTGGCCACAGTATACCAACCCCTGTCTTAGTCCTAAAAGGGAGCAATTTAAGACTAGAGGTGCAGCTTGGTAGCAGATCAATTGCCTAGCATACATGAGGTTCCAGGTTCAATCCTAAGCTCTGAAAACAAAATACAATAAATAAACAGGAAGGAAGACTTTAGACAGGATACCCCAACACAGGCTTGAAATGAAGAAAAGGTACCAGAGATTCTCATAGGATGTGCAAGCCAGATTAATCTGAATCAGGACCAGAAGTCTGAGCTCTTCAGACTCTTGTGTTTTCATTTTCCATTAATTTTTCTAGGTAAAAGTTACCACTAAAACTTCTACTTGTGTTGTGACTCAAATTATATGGAAAATACTTTTTTTCCACATTTCTCTAATAATCAATTAGGAAAGACTGGATGTGGGGAAGTGGGCAAAGAGAGAGTGGTGCTGGCATAGGATGGAAGGTCAGAAGCCAAGTCAAACTCTAGATGTTCGTTATTTCTTTCTATCACACAGCACATCCCAACCTGGCACTGCCTCCTAACTCAGGTCTTCAGGACACTTAGGTCTCCTAGAAGTACTGCTCAGAATGTGGCAGAAGTGCAGTTTGGGGGAGATTTTTATGCTCTAGACCCAATTCTCTTTCCTAGAAATAGTTTTGTTAAGTTTGGTCCTGGTTAAAGTAGATCAGGAGGGATAAAAAGTTGAATATTTGTTAAATGCCAGGCTAGGTTTGGTGAGTTGGGTTGAAAATAATTATCACTGCTCAAACAACCACACCATGCATTTGGTGGCACCACTCAAATAACAGGTACTCCTAAAGTTAATAATTAGCCTCTCTCAGGGAGTAAAGGGACACCTTAATAGCAATCTCTCTGAGTGGTGCAGAATATATCATGAAATATGGTAAGTTTTAATCAATGTTATGTCTAATTAAATATGATAATAATATACCAGCTACTCAAAAGATCTATCAGACCCTAATGTCTATATAGCAGCAACAGCAACAGTTTTATCAGTACATATTTCATCTTTTCATCTGCTCAAATAATTTCATAGGGTATATACCTATAATCCTAGAAACTCAGGAGGCTGAGACAGGAGGATTGTGAGTTTGAGGCCAGCCTAGGCAACTTAGTGACATCCTGTCTCAAAATAAAAAATTTAAAAAGGGTTGGGGATGTAACTCAGTGGTAGAGTGCTTTCCTAGCATGTGCAAGAACCAAGGTTCAACCCTCAGGAAATAAATAAATAAATAGTAATAATTTCATAGGATTGTGTTATACCTTCTGAATTACTGAGGTATAATTACTTTCAAAGTTAAATGAACACTAAAATGATTTCCCTTAAACCAGATAGCTTTGTTCTGTTCTGGATAGAAATCTTGAAAATATGTATTAATGGTCATAAGAAAGAATGGTGCAGAGGCTGGAGTTGTGGCTCAGTGGTTGAGTGCTCGCCTGGCATGCAAGAGGCACTGGGTTCGATCCTCAGCACCACATAAATGTAAAATAAAGGTATTGTGTCCACCTAAAACTAAAAAGTAAAAAGAAAAAAAAGAAAGAATGGCACAAATGTGTAAACAGATCAAAGCAAATGCATAGACATTACAAGGAAAAATCCTAATGTGCTTTAGGAGGTCAGGATACTTCCCTTCACTTACAGACAGCAAAGGATGAAGAGATGCAGGTCAGAAATCAATTCAACCAATACTTACCAGGAACCTAACATGTGCTCTAGGACCTCTGCTCTCCAAGAACGCCCAACAGTTAGAGAGATTAGGAAGTGTGGTAGATACAGAGCAGAAGTTGCCAATCTTCAACCATTTAGAATTTCCCCCAACATCTTCTGATTTCCCACAGAAATGCTCACAAGGCAGGAGACAGAATAGCAGTTTTCAACTCCAGATGAATCATATCAGGTGACACAGTGAAATGGATAACAGACTAGAGAGCAGGAGACCTAGATTCCAGTCCTGACTCTCACATAACTTTAATATGAAAATGTCTTGACTTCAACTACTTTCATGGTCCTTGTCTTTTTCAAAAAGAAAAATTATGGAGTTAACTGTTTGCTCTCACAGATACAATATAATACTAAAGTCGAGCAATGTTACACATATTTTCATTTAATCCTCACAAGTCTGTAAAAAGATTGTAATTGGTATCTCCATTTTATAGCTAAAGAAAAAAAACATAAATGATGAAATATGAAAGTACTGGGGTTAATTACAAAATCAAGTCAGCTGGTTCCAAAGCCTATGCTTTCTACCACTAAAAACCTTGAGAAATGACTCCTGGGATCATAAATGGTCAAAGGGGTGACAAATTTGAAAGGAAAAATATAAAATATTAAGAATTATATTAGATACTACAAAGAGCAGACAGTAGGAAGGAGGAAAAGAGATGAGAAGTTCATCACAAGTGGAGACCAGCTCAAAGTTATAAAGCAGAGACCCCGAACCTCATATGTTCCACAATATCCTGCAGCAACTTAAGAACCATTGAGTTGTTATTATGCATACATTATATGGTAGAGGCTGTAGGTAATTAGGTATTCTCCTACTCTTTCTATGGCTGGTAGGATTGAAGGTCTCTGGAGAATACTCTGGCATTGGTTTAGCAAAATTAAAGATGAAAATACTCTTTGCCCTGGCTGTTCCACATTCAGAAATTTACTTATGCATTTACACACAGAAAAAGTAAATATAGGGTTAGTGATACAAGTGCTTGCCTTGCATGCAAAAGGCCCTGGATTCAATCCCCACCACCACAAAAAATAAATGAATAAATAAATGTAAGGATATTCACAGTATATAACAAAACACTAGAAATAAAAAATGTCTACTAATAGTAGATCAATTAAATACATATTGATAAAACCATAAAATACTAAGTTGCCATTTAAAAATATTTTACAGGTTTTCTAAACATATTGACATGAATGATCTCTATATAATTAAGTGAAAAAGTCAACATATTGAGCAGTGTACAGCATGATGCCATTTGTAAAACTATACATGTATTTGTAAATATGTATTTGACTATGTATGTACATAAAACACACACTACATAGAGCTTTTTTAAAGAATTTACAAGAAGCTGATAAAGGAATATCAGCAGTTGCTTTAAAGAAGGTAAATGAAGCTGGGTGCGGTGGTGCAATCACGCCGGTAATCCCAGCGGCTGAGGATGCTGAGGCAGGAGAACCCAGATGCTAAGCAACTCAGTGAGACCCTGTCTCTAAATAAAATAAAATCATGGCATTTGCAGGTAAATGGATGGAGCTGGAGAATATTATACTAAGTGAAGTAAGCTAATCCCAAAAAACAAAGGCCAAATGTTTTCTCTGATATGTGGATGCTGATCCATAATGGGGATGGGGGCGAGCATGGGAGGAATGGAGGAACTTTAGATAGGGCAAAGGGGAGGGAGGGGAAGGAAGGGGACATGGAGGTAGGAAAGATGGTGGAATGAGATGAACACCATTACCCTAAGTACACGTATGAAGACACGAATGGTGTGACTCTACTTTATAGATAACACGACATGAAAAATTGCGCTCTATATGTGTACTATAAATTGAAATGCATTCTGCTGTCATGAATAACAAATTAGAATAAATAAATAAAATATAAAATAGGGCTGGGGATGTGGCTCAGTAGTTGAATGCCCCTGAGTTCAATCCCTAGTAACCCCCCAACAAAAAAAGGAAGGAAAAAGAGGGACTGAAGAGGGGCAGAAAGGAGACTGTTTTCTCACTGTAAACCTTTAAATGCTGTTTGAAATGTTTGACTTTGGATGAATTACCCATTCAAAAAAAAAGTGAAAACTATCACAAGAATGAGTAAAAAACAAAAATTATAACCGAATGACCTCACAGACACACACACAGAAGCCTGAAATAGCATCTGCCTACACCCTTGCCAGCGCCTGCGGCTATGACTCTTCCCTATAGTTCCCCAGGCTCCGGGGTTTCCCTGGAATGACATTCCTCTTTTTTTAATGATGAGTATTTTATTTTCACTTAAAGTACAGTTGTTAATCGATTGTTCAAAGCTAATTTCTGCCCATAGCCAATCAAGGCTCACCCACCTAACACATTTTTTTTTTTGGCTTCTTCTCTTACTATAGCTCCTCAATTAGAATAGTGTGCTAGTTTTTCTCCACATATTTCTTTACTTATAATATTAAACAAGTGCTCTTTTATTGTATCCTTTTAAAAATTATTTATTTATTTTTGTGGTGCAGGGGATCAAACCCAGGGCCTGGCACATGCTAGGCAAATGCTTTACCATTGAGTTATATCCCAAGCCCACTATATTCTTTGGAAAGAAGAAACTGTTGGAGTCCATCAGCCTCCAAGAAGAGCTGCCTCCAAAGTCACACTATCCTGTGTATAGAACCATGTAAAGCAAAGTGAAATCAGATATCTTAAGATTCCCAAAGGCTGAGGAAATATTTGGGTTCATTCTTGAGAGAACAGTGCCACCTGGTGTCACTTAGAAAAAGTCATGAGGGATTTAAATGATACAGGTAAATTCTATATCTCAAACAGGATGGAAACTTTCACAAGAAGTTCAATTAAAATCCACAAATTTGACTGACTACATGCTAGGCAATATATTGGCCTTAGAAATACAGAAATGAGTGAGAAGTAGTTCTCTTAGCACTCAAGTCAAGTTTTACTGGGTTCCAGTTCATGAATAAACATCAGTGAACAGTTTATAAAAATGTCTTTTGTTCCATTCACAGTCATATAGGGATGCTAGAGCATCATTCCACCTGTGGGAGACTAAACACATAGGCTGGGAAATGACGCTTACTTTCTGCAGATCCCTCTGTTGAGAAACTTGTCCCCCAGTCCTCCCACACCTCTAACACCCTGACCTCTAGTACTACTAAAATAAGCCCTGTTTGTTATTCATGAAAACTAGTTCTCAATGCTCAATGCTTAATTTCTAATAAAGGCTCTTAGAGCACGAAAATTACAAGTGAGCAGAAGATAATGACTCTCCTAGTCCCTAAAGTGGGCCTTCAGACTTGACTGATCTGGAGTTCAATTTCTAACTCACTCATTTATAACCTGGATGACTTTGGACAAGTTACCTTCAATTTCAGTTTCCTGCTCTGGAAAATGAGGTCAGTAATACATATTTTGCAGGACAGTCATTAGGATTAAAAGATCAGACAATGTTCAGAAAAATAACTAACATCAGTACTTAGTCCACGGTTATGAGCAGTCCTGATAAAACACAAGTGGGACCATGTAAAACCCCTATTTTAAATCCACCACATTTCTCATGCCTTCCTATCATACTACAGTTATAAAGTTCCTGAACTTTATAAAGTCCACACTTACACATCTCCATACCTGTTTGCTGAGAATGATTTTTCTCTTTATTTTATCCCAAATCATCATCAAAACAACTCAGAAATTCACTTTTCAAAGAGGTTTTCTCTGATCCTCAAGCCATTTGGGGCCTGTCTCAGTTACAGAACTTACCACACTTTATCATAATTTCCTTTCTGTCTCCTTATTAGTATAAACTCCAGGAGAAAGCCATATACATATGTATACACACACAAACACACACACACACACACACACACACACACACACACACATTTTGGGATACTCAGTAATTAACAGCACATAGGTAGTTCAATAAATAAACTAATAAATAAAGTCCCTGAATAAAGTATGTAGGTCTGACCCCTGCTTATACCAGTCAAAAATCTTTCTTATTTGCCACTGTCTGGTCAAGGAAAGTTTTCTGATTGGAGAAGAATTTCAAACAGGGTTTACAAAAATATAAAGATTCCTAAAGCTGCATCTCAAGCAGCTGGCATTCCGACGTCCAGCCCAAATCTGACCTGAACTTACCAGGGAAGGACTAGCTAGAATGCAGTGGAAGTTCCAATAGAAGGGGAGACCAGAAAGCTCACTCCGCACCCGTAGAATCAGTGCCTCTGCCACACGATCACAAGAGAAGGTCGCTTCACTAGGGTGAGCAATATTCTTCAGCAATGGGCGAAGCAGATTATCCAAGTGACAGAGAAAAGCCGCAGGGGGAGCAGTCAGTCGCTTGTTCAGCTCCTGAAAAGACAGTAGTTTTACACACTGAGGGTGCTAAAAGGAAATTAACTCCCTCTTGAGCAGTAGCAAAAGAAAGTCCTGGTTAATGTGAAGACAATGGGCATGAGAGAAAGGGAAAGAAAGAGAAAAACATCACAATAGGAAAGAAGAAAACAAAAACAAAAGTAACAAGAGTCACAAAAAATCAACTGGCCTACTTCAAAGTTCTGTCTTCCCTTTTGCGGCCATCGCTGAAGCGGCAACGGCCAAAATGAAGTGAAGTTCAATCCTTTTGTGACTTCTGACGGAAGCAAGAACCGCAAAACGCATTTCAATGCACCTTCACACATTCACAGGAAGATTATGTCTTCCCCTCTTTCCAAAGAGCTGAGACAAAAGTACAATGTTTGATCTATGCCCATCCGAAAGGATGATGAAGTTCAGGTTGTTCGAGGACATTATAAAGGTCAGCAGATTGGCAAAGTCATCCAGGTTTACCGGAAGAAATATGTCATCTATATTGAACGGGTTCAGCGAGAAAAGGCTAATGGCACAACTGTCCATGTGGGCATTCACCCCAGCAAGGTGGTTATCACCAGGCTAAAATTGGACAAAGACCGCAAAAAGATCCTGGAACGGAAGGCCAAGTCTCGCCAAGTAGGAAAGGAAAAGGGCAAATATAAAGAAGAAACAATTGAGAAGATGCAGGAATAAAATAACCATATTTACAATTTGCATTAAAAACGCTAAAATGAAAAAAAAAAGTTCTGTCTTAGGCAAGATCAATTTACAGAAGACCTATATGGATTAGACAACATAGGTCACATTATGCATTATCATGCTACAGAAACACATATACTATCCCTTCCTTCTCTCTACCCGTCCTCCCTTCTCCCCTCATCCCAGAAAGATTCCACAGCTGCAGACAGAAGTGTAGGACATAACTAGTTGAAAATTCCTCGGAACAAGAAGTGTTTCATATTTCAGAGTTTTGGATTTTGGAATGTATGTGTAAGAGTTTACCGGTTGAGCAACCCAAATTTCAAAATCTAAAATGCTCTGAAATGTGAAACTTTGTAAGTGCCCTATGCTCAGAAATTTCATATTTTAGATTATTTTGAATTTTGGATTTTTAGATGAGGGATGCTCAACCTGAAACTGGAATTGTATCAACTCATTTCAATCTTCCTTGCCAACATACAAGTGGTCGAGCTGGTTGACATTAACATCCCCTGACCTTCACTAGGAAAGAACATATCCTCACAGTGGTACTTCTCTTTACACTTACCTTGGCTCGATGGCTGACCACACTAGTATCCACCTGTTCATGCCACACCTGTTGAAGATCCGAAACAAGCAAGGTATAGCCCTGCTTGGTGATATAAGCCTTGGCCAGGAGGGAGTTCTCGGCAAGCTGTAGCCAAGCCCATGGCTGCATCAACAGGCCTTGCTCCAATTCCTCCATCTGCAGAAAAGGCCTAATTTAGCAAAGTATCTCCAGAGTAATGTAGGCCTAGGAGGGTGCTCAGACAACTCTGCATCAACTACAATCCTGTGAAAATCCTAACAAAATAGGAAACATGGATTTACATTCTTCTCCTTATTATTGAACTAGCTGAGCACCAACCTACTACCACTTAAAATCTAGTTAGAGAGGCTGTGGTTGTGGCTCAATGGCAGAGTGCTTGCCTAGCATGTGCGAGGCACTGGGTTCAAACCTCAGCACCACATAAAAATAAATAAATAGAATAAATGTATAAAAAAAAGTGTTGTATCTGATTTTTAAAATCTAGTTAGAATCTTTTTCCACATAAAGTTCCTAGAGGGTAGAGAATAGTACTTTCTTCCATAGTATTTAAGCCTCAGCCAATTGGTGTGTTTCCACTCTCTCATAACATAGTTTAATGTGAAACCCAAACCATTCTTGTTGCACCTTTACCACAATAGAAATCCTAATAAATGACAATACTATAATTTCCCAGAACTTTTAGAAGAGAAAGATAGTTCTTGTATTGTAAAACATCATCAAGTCTTGTCAGGGGCAGAATATACAAATTATTTCATCATCATCTAAAAACAAAACTCTAGAAACTCTCAGGAATTTTTTTTTAATCTCTAAAACAGAGCTTCCTAATGTAGAGTTTATACACCCAAACCTTCTAGAATTATATGAAAATGTTATGCATATATGTGTATACAGAAGCAGTCCATCTCTATAGTCAGATTCAAATTTTTGATTAAACCAAGGAACATTCACACGTAGCTCAGTTCTGTATGCACAATAATGCATAGTGTGATCCATCATCCTCCTGCACTTTTATTTTGAGATATGTCTTATTAAGTTGCTGAAGCTGGCCTTGAACTTTTGATCCTCCTGCCTCAGCCTCTTGAGTCGCTGGGACAACAAGCATATGCCACTGTGCCTAGCTGTGGTCAAATTCTTAGAGATTAACAGCACAAACATAGAAAGGAGCTAATAAGCTCTGTGACCAGGAGCAACAGAAAAGACCCAAATCCACTTTTACAAATGACCAGGAGGTCATGAATATAAACCACAGCACACCACAGAAGAAGAGATAATTAACTTCCACTTAACTCATATCCCCACTCCAAGGCACAGCCACCAATGATATTATACTCTTTGCACAGCTTGGAACTCCTAGAAAAGTTTGGAAATCAACTTTTCTATGTAGCCTTAACCTAGGAGATATTCAGCAAAAATGACTGCTTAACAGAGCTTATTTTTCCTGTGTGTGTGGGGAATAATATAGTTTCCTCCATTATTCCAGTCTATAAATACAAAATGAAGAGAAGTACCAGGAGGTGAAAACTTAGAATATAAAGAAAATAATAAAATTCCTGTTACATTTCATTAACACAGTCATTTCCAACTTAGTCTAAATCATCATTCTTCCAACCATAACCTAGATTTCAAAGAGTGACCTTGTGATATTATTTAATTTGCACTGTAACTAAAGAGTCATGCCACCATAATAACATTTCAGTCAATGACAGACCATATGTATATGACAGTAGTTCCATAACAGTATACTGCTAGTAACATTGCAGGCACTTTAGTTTGCATTTTCATACACTATATGGTGTTTGCACCACGATGAAATCACCTAATACTGTATCTCAAAATGTATCAATCTTAATGACCCATGAGTGCATGACTTACTATATGGTGACTTATCTGCAGCAGCCAAGGTGTTGTTGGGAGATGATGTGTCCAGTCACATCTCTCACTGCTGTTCCTACAGGGCAAAAATGACTTTGGAATGATTAAGCTAGTCCTCATTGGACAGAGTTCCAATGAGCTCCATACCACCTACCGCCAAAGATCACAAATGCAAATTAAGTTGCCAAACCCTTCAATTTCCCTTACAGAAATAAGAGTCACCAAAATGCGGCTAATCATTCTAGTCCGTCCTTCTGAAAGCCAAGAACCTCAGAACCCTCAAAATGATGATTTTTGTTTGATGAAAGGGTGTAGTTTAAAATGTGGCTAGGGACAACAGGCCCTGTAAAAAAGTCAGAATATTTCTGCAACAGACCCACGTTGGCTTCTCTCACTAGCCAGGCCCATTCGAGACTGAAGCCTCTAAATTTCATTCCTCTGTTTTCTTCAAGGCCGCCTTTAACATTCATGTTAACTATATTCATCCGTTTAGTACTCTTGTCTGAAGAAGGGGGGTGAGACGGTTCCGCCCCTCGGCCAGCAGACCCCTCTCAGGGCAGTTCCTCCACTACCCTGCAGGGGGCAGTAAGCCCTAGAGAGATTCAAGCCGGGCCACTCCTCGTCCCCTGGGAGAGGGCGAACCTTGAGTCCCAAACCACAGCCCACCCCAGGAACCCCGCCTGGCGTCCAGTTTGTTTCCATCTGCCTCCCCTAGAAGAGACTCCGCGGTCCGCCTTTCCATTTCTATAGCACCGGCTGCACCGAGGCATAGTCAGAATCCCTCAGCGGGTACACAGTGGACACCTCCGGTTCGTAACCCGGCTACACCAAATAGCAGGCCTAGGAAAAGCCTCACTCACGCCCCCAAAACGCCGAAGCGGTCGGAGCGCGCTGCGCACGCGCAGCCCCGCCTACTCTTGGAGGCCTGCCCAAATCCCCGGCTGCGCGCTGTCCATTCAGGGAAAAAGCGTCCGTGCCGGGCCCAACCCGCAGAATCCGCGCAGCTCCACGGCGCCCGACCCGGTCCAGACCCTGGCCTAACTTGAGGTCGATACCACCTACCGTCAGTTCCTCTAGAACTCACACCTTCCTCACTGCAGGCCCGTCCGCCCGCGGAAACTGAAAGGCGTAGGGTAGAGACCGATACCCCCCACGGAGGCGGGTCCTGGGCGCGGAGGCGGGGTCCAGGCCTGGCGGGGGCAGGACTTCGGGTTCACTGAGCAACTTGTAGGAGCGCGGAAGGGCTAGAGGGCCACCGCAGCCCTTACTAGGGAGGTTGAGGGGTAGCGATCCTTCTAGGAGTCCGATCAGCAGCGGAGAAAGAATACCAGAAGAAATGTAGGCGAGTAGGATGTGGGTTTGAATTTGTCAAACCCAGATTACTTCTGTTCCCACCCATACTGTCCAGACTTTCCCTTTTTTAATAAAATGAAAGAATTGAATTTCACCATATCATCTCTGGAGTCTTGGCCTCTAAAGAGTAGTCGAAGAGAGGAGGCTCCTGGGAATAAATTCTGTAGTCTGATTTCATCCTTTACCTCCTCTGCATCATCTCACCCTTTATGCACCCTATACTCATAACCTATCACCACTGAAGACTTGAAACCCCTCATCAGTACTTTGTACACCTCATGCTTTTGTTCACGCTGGATTCCTGAGCCTGAAAATTTCTCATCTATTTTCCAAAACCGGAATCCTTGCTTCTCAAGGTCATCCTCAGCACTGCTGCTTTCATAAAGCCTTATTCCCAGAATGAACTACTTCTTCCTCTGCTCCCATGGTGTTATTTTTATTTTTATTACAGATTGCCTTCTGCTTTGCATTTTTAATAAGAAATTACATATATCTTTTTAAACCTTAAATACCTGGAGAGGACAAGGATCCCATCATATTCATATTTTAGTTTCAGAACCTAGCACATGAAAAGAATTAATATTTGTTAAGTGAATGATAGGGTTCAGATGACATTAATAGTTTATAGGAAAAATCTCATTCATTCATCATGATCCACTAAACCATGGCCCCTGCTCTATAATAGGCCTAATTAAGAGAAGAAAAGGCAACCCATTCTACTGGGAAATGAGACCTCTAGGTGGGCCCATGACACATACACAGTCCCTCTGAGCCTAGGAGCTGATTCTCAATGAAAGCAGAAAGAGGAGTCTCAATAATTACTTTGACCTAAGTCCTTCTCTGCTAGATGCAGGGCATGACTCCCCACAGCCAGGCAACAAGTCTGAGGTCTCTCCTGGCTCAGATGGCCCTCCTTCCTCATCCCCAAGGTCTTCAGGCATTGGACAGAGGAAATGAAGGGGCTGGGGAATGCAGGGACACATGTCTTGAATGGGGAAAGGAAGCCCATACTCTTGAGCAGCCTTCTCCCTGGACTTCTGAGACATTTGAGCCTCTTGGGCAACAAAAGAAGATAGCAACCCTTGACTGAGGCCCCGCTCAAGCCTTGTACCTGCCAAAAAAAAAAAAGTTTGTCAGGTTGTGCTCAAACCAGGGAGTGATAACTTCCTGGCCATGCCCCAGGTAGCTAGGGCCTGATGTCAACTTACCAGAAATAGTGTTCTCTAGAAGAAAGCCCAAGAGTCCAGCCAGAAAGATGGGCTCTGCCAGCAAAGAACGCAGTAACACATCCAAGGAGCTCCAGCCTACAAAGGGTTAGGACCAGTCAGGAAGAGAACTCTAATACTTATTCAGAGCCAAGGAGTCTTATCCTTCCAGACTTAAACCTAAGTCTTGGACTAAAGACAGACCTTTCTAAATTGTCATTATACCTCCCTTATCTTTTATCCCTCTACTCTCCATTTTCCTCACTGAGGCCCTTTCTCAAGGTTCCTTGCTCAACACCCTATCTCCTGAGCATCCATACAACCTTCACATGCTTAGATATGCTTTGATTGTTCCAGGCTTCATTTCTCTGGGATTTTGGTATTAAAATCCCCAACCTTATCTCCTACTCCTTATACCTGCTATATTTTATCTTAAGTCTCCCAACCTCTGTACTATTGGCATTTTGAGCCAGATGAGGGACTGTCCTATGCATTGAAGGATTCTTTTTTTTTGGGGGGGGGAGTACTGGGGATTGAACTCAGGTGCTCTACCACTGAACTACATTCCCAGGACCCTCTTTTTTCATTTTGTGAGTCAAGGTCTCACAAGTTGCCCAGGAAATATAGCAACATCTCCCCCTGTACTAATTGCTAGTAGTCAAAAGTGTTTTCCCCAACATTGCTAAATGTTCCCCATAGGGGAAAAATCACCCCCAGTTGAAAACCATTGCTCTAGATAAGCTAAGCTATTGGCTGCTCTCCTACTTCTACATCTTTGTTTATCATCAAAAATGATCTTTTTACCAAATTTGTTTACCATCCTTCAAGACCAGCTTAATGTTACTGGATCACCACTGAGCCACAGCTCTTTATCTAAATCTTTCTTGTTATTTTCCTGCACACCTCATGTCTTTTACTAGACTATAACATCTAGAATTCCTTTGTATCCCAAGTTGCTAGCATGGTGTTCAACAAATGGATAAATTATTTATTCCAAAGCCCAGAGAAGATTGTGGGGCCAGGAGTCCAAACAGTACTTTTCCACTACTGAACAACTCCTCTTTCCCTCTCCACCTACCTGTGTTAAGTGGGACTGGGGCTTCCCGAAGCCATCTTGGCAGCAGCAGGGCCATAAAGATGGAAAAGCCCACAATGAAGACATTCCGTCCAGAGTCAATGTCAGCTAGGTGGAAACTGGAGAATCCAGCAGACAGAACCACAGCCTGGGTCACCCCTAGAACCCCACCTGTCTCATAGAAAAAAAATCAAGAGGGTTGAGAGAGGGAGAGGACACAGTGTATCGTGGACAGGCAGATTATAATGGGGGGACTACCAAAAGGCCTTTTTCAGATTTTTCAGGAGTCCCAAAAGTCCATTCAAGAAACCAAGATGTTGGGTCAAAACAATGAGGGCAGCTGACACATGTTCATATCCACCCATCCAGGAAGGCTATTTAGAGAGAAAGGATGCCTGTCAATACATCCACTCACCAAGCACAGGCAGCGGGATTGTAGTGAGGAACTGAGCCAGCCTAGGGGAGAGCCCAAGCCCCATGCAGAGCAGCCCCACTATGTGGGTCACTCTCTGAGATCCAGCCTGCAGGAAGAGATACCAGAAATAGCCACTTCCTTGGAGTGTCCCAGATCCTTGCCTGGCTGACTCCTTCTCATCATTTAGATCCCAACTTTAATGTTACCATCCAAGTAGCATTGTAACCACTCTCTGTCTAAAGATGCCTTCTCTGCTCAGCCACTATTCCACAACTTTGTTTTCTTAATAGCACTTATCACTCTCTGAAATTACCTTATTTACTTTATTTTCTTCTCCTGAGGAAGTCCCCAAGAGAGTATGACTTTATCTGACTTGTTCTTCACTGGAACCCCAGCCTTGGTAGAGTGCCAGCTGACTCTGATGTGCTAAATTGTTGTCTTGGCCTCATTGCTAGCCTCTTACCACTTCTAGGTACAGCCCTAAGTGAAGTCATTAATGTGAACTGCTTAAGTGCTGGGCACAGCTGGCAAACAGTCAATGTGTTCTCTACTTTCTACTGTACCTCCAGTTCCCCACCCCTGTCCCAGGTTCCCATACCTGGAAAAGACTCACTGTGCCCACATTAGGGAAGCTGGATGCTGTGCCCATGGGGCTCCCCAGCAGCCCAGCCACCACACTGCCCAGCCCCTCCAGGCTCAGCCCTCGATTGCAAGCATGTGGAGGTGGAGGAGGCAAGTGCAGCAGCTGGCCACACAGAGCATAGCAGCCCAGAGAACTGGTGGAGGCTGCCAGGGCCATAGAGATGCCTGCAGTCAGAGCCCTGGGTGTCAACAAGGGCCAGTCCCATTCTCCTGAGGAGGGAAAGGAGCCACCTTAAGGCCAGACTCAATTCTGGAACACCCCTCTACCTACAACAGCCTGTGCCTTTGAAGATATCTTGGGACAAAACACCTGAACTCTAAGGAGAAAGACCCATCTCTTTACTGTGGTCTACAAGACTTTCTTTGGCTTGACCCTTAACACTCTCTCTCTAGCCTCATCTGCCAAACTTCACCTCAGTTTCCTCACCCTAGACAAACTACCTTTGCTTTAGGCCCTGGACTTGCAGTGCTCCTTGCCACCACAGTGTCTTTGTACATGTTATTCTCTTCATCCACAATATTCTCTCCTGCCTTCTGACAGTTAACTCCTACTCATTTCTCAGATCTCTGCTCAATGACCACTGGAAGAATACCTTTCCAGACTTCCCTGATGATGTCAAATCTCCCATTATTAGCTCTCACCATGCAATGTAGCTCCTTTTTTTCCCTCTCAATACTGGGATGGAATCCAATAGTAGAGATGGAATCTCTACTACTGAGCTACACATTCCCTCACCCCCTTTTTAAAAATATTTCTTTTTTTTTTTTAGTTGTAGATGGACACAACACCTTTACTTTATTTATTTTATGTGGTACTAAGGATCAAACCCAGAGCCTGACACATATGTGGCAAGCACTCCACCATTGAGCCACAACCCCAGTCGCTAGCCCCTCTTTTTAATTTTTTATTTTGAGTCAGGGCCTCCCTGAGCAGCTCCGGCTGGCCTCTAACTTGTGATCCTCCTACTGCAGCCTCCTGGGTCACTAGGATTATAGGCATTTGCCACCATGCCTGGCTAGTGTAATTCCTCTTGAGTGTACTTACCACAATTGCAATTCCACATTTACTTAGGTCCCTATTTAATTAGTATCTATATTCCCCAATTGACTACCAGTCTCATGAAGGCAGATACTATGTCTGTCATATTCATCACTATGTCCCCTGCCACATGCCTAGCACACAATCAGCACTCAAAAGAGCCTTATTAATTGATGGGCCAGGTTTGATCCCTAACAGTGCAATAGGTAAATAGATGAATGATAAATTTTGTATACTATGCCTCAAAAATAATCTTTCTACATAGATCACCAG